TTTCCAGGTGGAGGCTCAGACGTGCAGCCCCAGGCCCTCTACAAACACCAGCTGCTCACTGCCTCTTCACCTGCCTCAACTCCTGCCTGCGCTCCCGGCACCAAGACCAGGCTGCTCCCAGCCAGAGCCCAGAGCCCTGCTCCCGCAGGACGCTCTTGCCTGCACCTTCCAGACCTCTCCGCTGTGCACGCAGCGCTTTTCATGCCCGCTCCTGTGGGTCTCAGATTCAGTCAAAGAGAGAAACAGAGAGTTTCTTGCCAGACATAAGCCTGGGAAAGATTTGGAGAAGAATGTAAATAATTCTTTATCTCTCGTGTTGTTCATATTGTTTATAGTTCAGTTCTATCACTGTGTGTCAAGCACTCTGCGCCAATGTTGTGGGTTGTTTTCACTTCAGGAGCAATGGAATTGATCCTCACAAAGCTCTGTATAAAAGAGCTGTATTTTGAAAACACCAGAGTTTTACTCTCAGTAGCCTTTGGAGTCCGTCTTCTCATTCCCATCCTGCCTCGACACACAGTTTGTGGTGTTGGCAAAGCAGCCCAGCAGAGCAGTGAGGGATTGGCCTCGACTGGGAACTCTCCAGAGTTACTCACTTGATATTTATTATAAGGCTTCACCCAGTTTTCCATCTTGGATCAGGAAATTTCATCTGGGAAAGGGTGTGCATTTATAGATAAGGCTCTTTAATGCCATGTATTGTGTGGGCCTCCAGGTGTTTGCTGTGTCATAGCAGCAAATGCACAGCAGATCAGGCAGAGCTGAAAGGAAAAGGCCATAGCACAGAACAAGGGGAGCTGCTGTAGCTGAAAATCCAGAGGGAACTGGAGGGGATTTAGCCTGGAGAAGAGGAGGCTCAGAGGTGACCTTTTTGCTCTCTACAGCTTCCTGAAGGGAGGTTGTAGACAGGTGGGGGTCGATCTCTTCCACCGGGCAGCAACTGGCAGAACAAGAGGACACAGTCTCAAGCTACGTCAGGGAAGGGTTAGGTTGGACATTAGGAAAAAAATTTTCACTGAAAGAATAATAAAATGCTGGAATTGTCTTCTCAGGGAGGTGGTGGAATCACCATCTCTGGATATGTTTAAAAAAAGACTGGACTTGGCACTTGGTGCTATAGTCTGGTTGTGCTGTTAGGGCACAGGTTGGACTTGATGATCTTAGAGGTCTCTTCCAACCTCATTATTCTGTGATTCTGTGTGATTCTGTGATTTGCTCTTACTGCTTTGGGGGTGTCTGCCTGTCTCCCTGAAGGTAATGAGGAAACACTGCTGTCCTGTCAGCTGAGCTGGGAAAAAGGGAAATAAAACTAGTGTTTCCTAAAAGTAGAAAAGAAAATACTGCTCTCGCAGGTAGCAGGTGGTGATTAAGAAGCAGAGCCTGTGTTTTTTAAGGACTTTATAGTCATTACTTGCCTGAAGACTTTTTCTCCTTTCTTTTTTCATATTTTCTTATTTTTTCCTTTTCCTTTTTGCAGTGTGAGATTGTGTGGTTGAGAATGCATGACATCTCACTGCTGGGCATGAAGGACAAAAGCTGTGTCTGGGCCATGTTTTCAAGCAGACATTGCAAATAATGGATTAAATGAGAGAAATTAAATAGCTGCTCCATGAAAACTCTTTCGCTCTAGTGGGGGATCCTGCATGGATGGAAAGGAGCAAAGTAAGGGCCAAAGAAGTTGAGCAGCCTTGAAATTGCTCCATACTCCTCTTTTTGTTCCCGAGGCTGGGGACACTACATTTGCACCAAATGGTGTTCTCTCTAAAGGAAAACTAAATGGGTTGTGAAGAGCAATTCATGTCCCTGGGGAAATACAAGGAAACTAAATCAGATTGAGCATGTCAAAACCATCTCAGGTGATAGAGTTTTGGGAGAACAAGGAAAGATGTAGACAAATATGGGAGGGAAAAATAGGTGCTGAGTGTTTTGAAGCTTCCTGCATCAATCCAGCTGGGACCAAGGGCATCCTGACCTTCCCAGGAGATTTGTCCTCAGGCTCTTCAAAAATCAAAGCTGAAAAAGAGCCAGACACTAAAAATGAGGGCTGAGTTATTCTGACTGTATACTAAATGATGCTCCTAGTCCGGAATTTGGTGAAAAAGCAGATGTCACATTCCACTGTGGGGAATGGTGATGAGTTCTTTTAAAAGATCCAGAACTGAGATCACCATCATTTTTAGCCATTACTGGGAGCAAATGGAACTAAACAACTGTAAGAAATGAATTGTCAGTGGATTGTGTCCCCTTTTAGTGGAGTGTCTCAAGATCTATGTATATTTAAAGTACCACTTCTTTTGTGGTCTTTGCACTGGTGCAAATTTTCTAACAGAGCCAGCTTTATTATAATTTAGAAAAAAAAATTCTGGGGAATGCCATAGAAGCCAAATATAGGGAGTAAGATTTAGAGAAAATGGATTAAAATAGTGGGGGAAGACCATCCTAAGGTGATCCTAAAATATGCCAAGGGACACTATTAATGGTATCTTATGGAGAGACAAATGCAAGGAAGAAAAATAAGCTAGTCTCTCCTTGGGAAGCTACTTATACATGATATTTTGAAGAGGATTGCCTATAATTGAAAGAGACATGAAGAGAATGAGCATGAAAAAGGAGCACCCTGTAGGTGTAACCAAGCAGGTGTAAAATGAAAGTGGCAAATCTCCCAGTCTCTCCTCAGTTTCCTCCAGCTGCAGATCAGTTACACAATAAATTGTTTAGAAGGGAATTACAGACATGAGGTATTAAAAGTCCAAGTCCATCCCTGAGTGTATG